AGTGCTGACCTCTGCAGCCGCAGAAACACTGGAGGGATGTTCACACTGGTTTTTAAATGCTGTTAAAAGCCACATGCTTGGGAGGGAAAAGGAGGGGAGAACAGTCCCCCCAAGTGAGCAGATTAAGTCACGTCTTTCAGCTCTCCCGTTAGGCCCTGTGATGTCCAGAGGGAATGCCAGGTCCTCCAAGCACATCCCCCGGCCACGACTGGGTCATTTCACACCTCAGAAATTCCCCTAGAGCTGCTCACCACCGCCTGCCTGCCCTGGGGAGCCTGCTTTCTTCTCTGCTACCACCTCCTGCCCTCGATCGCTCACCCTCCTGGAGAAGAAGGGCAGAGCAGGTGACAGCAACAAGTTGCTCTCAGGAGACTCCTGTAACTTAGCTGCTGTGCAAAACGCAGCCTCCAAAACAAGTCACCAACAGTAACGCTTTAAGAAGCCTTAGGGAAAAAAACACTGCCAAACTGGCAGCTGGTTTTTGACCACTTATCTTATTTCACACGCACAAAAGAGAGATCCTACACAGCTGCTGATATTCCAGTTAAGAATCCTTAAGCGCTGACACAACACAGCTATCCTCAGTGCAGGAAAGGACAACCGTGGGGCATGTGTGTAACAGAGAAAACAGCATTAGTGAGACACAACAGGCTCCCAAGTGGAACGGCGCGTTTAGTCATTCAACATGTCTGTTCCAGGGCAGCCCACGGCACGCAGCACCCAGCCGCGGGGCCAGCGGAGCTGTCGGAATGACCTTCCCCGGCTCTCTGGGGACGATGCGCAGGGGCGCTATGTTTCCCAAAGCTATTCATCTGAGAGGGGAAGAGGTGAACTGCGGTATGAATCTTTCAAGGTAGAAAAAAGCTTTTACAAGCAGCCAGGCAACTGCCCGTTCCCCACAAGAGCTCAACACAATAAATAAAATGATGCTGACTTGCGGAAGAAACCTCAATTGCAGGGCAGAGCGGCGATCTCGCACGTAGCACGCGCTTGTTCCACAAGGGACCTCGCTGTTACTGCAGCCGGATTTCGCTACCAACACGCTGGGCACGAGATGAAAGACCGAGAAACGCTCACGGGAGAAGAGAAGCCTCCGAGCTGGCATGGGATGAGAGCCTGCAACCACCTCCCTCCCTTTTACCGCGACCGGTCTCCGGGGGACCGCAGCTGCGGGGCATGCCCGGGGGTGGCGGCGGCGGGGTCCAGCCCTGACCTTGGTTGCCCATGGTGGAGGCGGCGGTGTGGTAGGTCTCGCAGTCCACGCAAAACGTCCCCTGCTTCTCCGCCCCCAGCAGCTCCAGCTTCCTCGTCAGCATTTCGACCGTCTGCTGGACGCTCTTGCCCTCGGCCACGGGCACCTGCGCCACGCTGCGGGGGGAGGCGTCAGCGGCGCCTGCGAGCCCGGGGACCCGGCCCGGCCGCCACGGCCCCGCGC